GTTTTTTTTTTTAGTTTTTTTGTTTGCTTGTTTGTTTTGTATTGTTTGGGTTTTTTCCCTCTAATTTTCTTTTAATAAGAATCCCAACTGGACACTGAAAATTTGTTATTGCTCACAATAAGCCCAGAGCCCGTGGTTCTGTCTCCTAAGTACCACCAGCACAGAAATCAATGGCAGTAATGCAATTCACAGCCAAGGGCAGGGAAAGCTTGAGAAATAACTGTGTCAGGTTTCTAGTGGGGAGGGAGAATCTGCAGGATGATAAAGTGTGGAGGCTGCAGGGCACAGCAGGGCTGCAGTCCATGGAACAGGGAACAATCTCTTGGCAGCCACCTGAGAAAGCTGCTCTCATTTTCAGGTGGGGGAGTTATTGTAATTTAGCAGGTGTAAAGCATCTGGAGGGATACTGAGGAAAGGGCTCCTCATTCCAGGCTTTATTCAGGTGAGACTGCTCTGCTGGGCTCAGGAGCTCACCCTGTGCACAGAACTCATCTCTGCAGCCAGGCTGGAGTCTGGGGTGGGCACTGAGTGAAGGATACTTCCCAAACTGGGCAGCAAAAGTGCTGAACAACAGGAGACCTGCAGCACAGATAGTGTTTGCTGAAAGGACAAAGCTGACCTTGCCACACTCATTCATCTCAAAGCCTGAAGAAAAAAACTCGGGATATTCATAGGAGTAATTTTTCCCCCACAGGCTTTTTCCTGGTTCTTTGTAGCTTAAATTTATGAGCCTTAATTTAAATGTAAATACTCCTGTTATTCATGGAAATGACCTGTCCCATTTTGAAAACTTAAAACACTCGTATCAGTCTCCTATGACAATGAGCCCCACAGTTCCTTTCTCCTTGAGTAATTATTGGCTTTGCTCTGAGGAGTGCAAAAGTAACCAAGCCTGTGCTCCAGGAGCAGCAATAACACAGAAAAAGAATATTCCAATCACACTGCAACTGGCAGGAGGTGGAATTTAAAACATGTGAAGCTGTGCTAGAATTTAGTGAACTGAGCTTTTCTGGAGGCACGGGGCTGGCATGAATGAATTCCTTCAAAATCCAGAAGCTAAGAAATTCGGGGTTGCTCTTAGGAGGGGGATATCACAACCTGGGGGTGGTGGCAGTGGCAACATGAAGAAATTGAGAGCACAGAGAGCAGAGAGCTGCCTCTGCAGAGGGACAGAATCATGTGGTAGAGGGGAGAAATGGGAGCTGAGGGGACTGGGTGCTGAACTGCTGCTTCACATACAATTACAGCACTGCTGGCAAGAATTGTGACTTACAGAGCCATTCAGAGCTCCCCAGCCCAAAGGAACAGATGATGGAAGGTTTCCCATTCATCTTCATGTCAGGTAACATCACTTGTGCCATTTCCACTTGTTTTACAAGCCTTGATGTGTGCTGAATGCAGCAAGAGCAGCAGCACAAATCACCAGCCCAGAGATCCTGAAGGCTGGCACCTCACAAGACACCACAGACTGAGGCTACGGGCTTCCACTGAGGAGGAATTAATTATTTCCTTCCTACTCTAATCATTTTCAGATAAAAATCACTGGTCAGGGCTTTGGCTTGACTCTTCTGCTAGCTCTTCCCTGGTGATGGATGCAATAAAGAGAGAAGTGACAGCAATTCACTCACCACAGACTCAAAGATTGAGGTCAGAACATAAAGAACGTCCATGTTCACTCAGATCAGTGTGCCATTTAGGCTGGGACTCAGTCCCTGTGGGGATCAGTAAAAATTCATTTGGGAAAGAGCATTGGAAACAGGGGAGTTGAACTGCAAGTTGGTCCTTGCTCTTGCCTCCTTGCTCCTGGCAGTCAGAAGATATTCCTGAATCAGAGGCTGCATTTAAATGCATTAAATGACCTCACTGGTGGTCCCAGCTCCTCCCAGGAGTCACTGGACTCCTGTGGCAAGCACATTTCTCTCCCTCTCAGGATTTTTCACAGAGGTGCACAGAGAGAAATGAA